CAGATGGGATCCACACAGTGGTTCTGAAGGAGCTGGCAGAAGTGCTCACCCAGCCACTTTCCATCATTTATCAGCATTTGACTATCAGAGAAGGTCCCACTTGACTGATGGTTAGCAAATATGATGCCAATCTACAAGAAAGGACAGAAGGAGGATCCAGGAAACTACAGGCCTGTTATTCTAATCTTGGAGCCAGGGAAGGTCATGCAGCAGATCATCTTGAGTACTATCAGACGACATACAGGACAACCAGGAGATCAGGCCCAGTCAGCATGGGTTTACAAAAGACAGGTCCTGCTTGATGAACCTCATCTCTTTCTGTGACAAGGTGACACACTTAGTGGATGAGGGAAAGGTTGTGGATATATTCTACATAGGCTTCAGTGAAGCTTTTGACGCTGCTTCCCACAGCATTCTCGTGTGCTTGGATGGATGTATGCTTCATCAGGTAAAAACTGTCTGGGTGACTGGATTCAAAGAGCTGTGGTGAACAGAGGTAAATCCAGCTGTCAGCTGGTCACAAGTGGTGTCCCCCAGGGCTCAGCATTGGCGTCAATTCTCATAAATATCTGGACAAGGGGATGCTAATGGTCTGAAAAAGGGGGTAAAGTGCACCCTTAGTAAGTTTGGAGAAAACATCAAGTAGGGCCCAAATGTTAATATACACCAGGTCAGGGAGGCTCTACAGAAGGATCTGGATGGACTAGACTGATGGGACAAGGCCAGCTGTATGAGGTTCAACAAGGTTAAGTGCCAGATTTGCCTGGTTGTCCTGTATGTCATGTGATGGTACTCAAGATGATCAGCTGCACTTGGGGCATGACAGCCCCATGCAATGGGGTTGCATACAGGGTACAAGAAGAGTGGCTGGAAAGCTATGCAGAAAAAAAAAAAGAATCTGGGGGTAGGTCCATTTTGGTCAATGGCCACCTGAATATAAAATAGCAGTGTGCTCAGGTGACTGAGAACACCAATGGCATCCTGGCTTTTATCAGAAATAGGACTAGGGTAGTGATTGTCCCCCCATACTCTGCTCTGGTGGGGCCGCAGCTTGAATACTATGTTCAGTTTTGGGTCCCTCACTGCAAGAAAGACTTTGAGGTGCTAGAATGTGTTCAAAGAAATGCAATGAAGCTTGTGAAGGGTCTAGAGGATAAGTCTTATTAGGAGCAGTTGAGGGAACTGGCTTTATTTAGCCTACAGATAAGGAGTCTCAGAGGAGACTGTTTTGGATGTTGTATTGATATGGGGTCAGTCTTTTCGCCTAAGTACCAAACAATAGGACAAAAGGAAATGGCCTCAAGTTGTGACAGTGGAGGTTTAGGTTGGATATTAGGAAAAGTTTCTTCACTGAAAGGGTTGCAAAGCACTGGAATAGGCTACTCAGGGATTAATTGATTAATTATTTAATTTGTTTATTTATTTATGTTTTATTATTTTTATTTTAAATACCCCCAGTACCCCTGGAGGTATTTAAAAGACATGTAGATGTGGTGCTTAGGGACATGATTTAGTAGTAGATTTGACACGAGGAGAGGAGAGGAGAGGAGAGGAGAGGAGAGGAGAGGAGAGGAGAGGAGAGGAGAGGAGAGGAGAGGAGAGGAGAGGAGAGGAGAGGAGAGGAGAGGAGAGGAGAGGAGAGGAGAGGAGAGGAGAGGAGAGGAGAGGAGAGGAGAGGAGAGGAGAGGAGAGGAGAGGAGAGGAGAGGAGAGGAGAGGAGAGGAGAGGAGAGGAGAGGAGAGGAGAGGAGAGGGCAAATGGAGGGAGAGGGAGAGGGCAAATGGAGGGAGAGGGAGAGGGAGAGGGAGAGGGAGAGGGAGAGGGAGAGGGAGAGGGAGAGGGAGAGGGAGAGGGAGAGGAGGAGAGAAAGAGAGAGGGGGAGGGGGGAGAGGGAGGGGGGGGGGAGAGGGAGAGGGAAAGGGATTCACCTGTTCCAAAATGCCGACTCATATCAAGGAACATTTCCCAGTTCAACACCAAAAGTTATAAGCAAGACAGATTCTCTCAGAACAAGTTAGAAGATTTTAACTTTGATACTAAATTCTTCCTACACTGTGCAGAACCATGTGTTCTCTGTGAATGAAAGAGAACTACAGAAGAGATTGAAAATCTATTGCACAGAAACTGAAGAAGGAAATAATGTATATTAAAGAAATTTTTATACCTCTAGAATAAGCTAAATAATGCAATTATTAAAAAGGAATACTGAAGAAGAAATGACTTGGCATCATCTGTTTCAAAAATAAAGGCTATTTACAATCACTGCATCATATTTCATGAAATGGCTAAGAAGACACTATTTCATACAGTCATGTTGCTGAGGATAGTAAGATAAAATGGATTGTGTTTGTTTACTCCAGCAAGAAATGTAAAGGAACATTTAAATCCACGTTTTCAAGCATAATCTATAGATTTTAAGCCTAGTTTCTATATTTGAAATTAATATCCCTTATATGGCAAACATTCTCCAAAGCAGTTTAGAGGTGGTATTTGTAAGTTATGACTGAAAGAACATGAGAAAGCTTTCTGTTACTTCTCACAGACTTCCCGTTAGTCTTCAGAATTTTCCTGAATGGAAGGAATGAATTGTTAAAACCTTCATCATCAAAAGAAAACAAAGTATTCCAAAAGAACCTTCCCAGGCTTTTTCTGGTCATACCAAAATTTAGAATTTATGTAATTCATTCTTAGTTGTTTCCGCTGTAATATATACAGTTATAGAAGCCTGCACAGCTTACCATAACACAGAATTTAATAAAGCATGTTACACAGGATTCAGTCATCCTCTGGAAAGGGTTATATACAAGGCCATTCTTAACAACATTGTAACTTAAATCTATATGAAAAAAAATCATCTTATATATAAGAAATAAAACTCAATACCTGGGGGAGAGTTCTGTATAATATATGTATAGTTGGAATGGTATAGTCTCCTCATTTCTATGTGGAGATGCAGTATTTAGTGAAGAAGAGGAATGATCTAAAAGGTTTAGGCCTTTTTGGAAGAAGGGATGACAATTTTAGATTTTATTTATACAGCTTCACAAATTTTAAGATTGTCAAATCAATTGATAAAGGTGAATGTTTAAAGTGGAGAATGCAAAATCCATGTCAGTTCAACCCTGTCGTGTACATGGGCTTTCAGAATCATATTCCTTATAATAACCTACTTAATGATTCTTAAATTTTGGTAGAAAACACACCAATGGCCATATTTTTATACATCTGGTGAATATATTATAAGGAATGGCAAAAATTATCAATAACCATTCTCTGTTGTTTTTATTTATGTATTATTAAGAAATGGGGAGGTGTTAGTAGTTGATTTGTGGAAACACTTTTGTGATCAGGTTTTACATTTGTGGATATTAACTTAAAAGCAGAGCAAAATTATTTTCATTTCTGATATAAATATATAGAGAGATACAGATATCCCCCATCTCAAACATTCAGCTACAAATGAAGTGCAAGTATCTGTAAAATATTCAGTAAAAATTAGGAAGAATTTGACTTACAAATTATAAAATCAAAATGAATAAAGAATATCATGACAGACAGATGAGAATCTTTGAGCCTTAAAACACTTGCATTCAAGATATAATTGCAAGATTTATTAAAAGTAGCAACATGAAATAAATGACGTGTTGAGAAAAAAAAAAGAAGAAAAATCAAATTCTTACAATTTCTTATGAATATTAATCTGTTGTTATTATTTTGCAAAATTAAATATTTTATCTGTAGAAAGTTAAGTACTAAAGAATTCATTCTAATAAGCCAATATATATATATACACATATACCAATATATGTGTATCTTGGACAAGATTTTTGGAACATTATGACACTGCCCTTTCAAAGGCCAATGAAACTTGGAAACCTCTCAGCACAAAAGGAGTTACTGGAATCTGACTGGTATAGAGCCTCTAATAAACAATCTGTAAAGTAATCAAAGACATGACATGAAAAACAAAACAGAAAGTGTATGCTCTACAGGATAAGTATGCCCAAGGAACAGATCTGTTGGATCTGTTCTACAAGATAAGTATGCCAAGGAACAGATCTCACCAAACAACAGATTTGGTCTGTGTTTTTGTGGCAGTAGGACGAACAAGGAAGTAGTATTTGTAGCATATAAAATCAGCTGAAGCAGTGCAGGAAGGAGGATGAAAATGTTCCTTGGATGAATGAAACATTTTGCCATAGTCCTACTGTATCTAAATATATTAATACCTAACACAGAATACATGCCTTTAAGATTGTACCCCCCCACACACACACCCCTGTCCCCCGACTAATTTTTATCAAATAAATGTTTCAGGCAAATAGAATAGAATCTCACATGGATGGACACCAACACACTGTACTAACATCTGTAAAACAGACAATTAGAATCAAAACAGTTCTCTTCCTACAAAACACAAGTGGCAGTTTTAAAAAGGACTGACTGTAATCACTGTGCAAGCATTAGCACTAATATTCTATATATATATATATGTTTTTTTTTTTTTTTTTTTTTTTTTTTTTTTCAGAAATAAAGCATGTAAAACTGTAAATCCTCATCCCTATCCCAGTCAAGCTGGGTTGACTAGACTAAGCTGTACTGTCTCATTTATATTTTTGAATAACCTTTCATTGTATTGTGATAGACATATTTTACAGAGGACAAAGTGCTCCTTGTTGTGTGTTTTGTGAAGTGTATTAAATCTGTATTTTTTTTCCATTTTTAAAGCAAGCATTTGCAGATATAAAATAAGTGCAAGATCTGTCTAAGAGAACAAAAGGCAAGAGCTGCAGCAGACGTTTACTGTGTAGCAAAATCATCCATTAATAACAATCCGCAAGATATTTAGCTGAATTTTACTTTCCGAGGTTCAGTTCAATAAGGGAAAAAAAAAAAAAAAAAAAAAAAAAAAAAAAGGAGGTGAGGCGAGTTTCAGGAGAAGGAGGAGCTGATCTGTCTCAAGGTGGAGCTATATCTTGTGTTAAATGACACTGGCAGATTAAAGCTCTCTGATGGGGAAGGGCTTAAAGGCTGAGTCAAAAGCCAAGAAGTCTCTTTATTTACGCCTACCTCCCAGCCCCTGGCAATCTGACTAATAACAAACTGAGCTAACAAGAAAGACTAGAAACAGCAGAGAGAACATAGAAGCAGCTTGGATCTAAAAATCAGACAACACAAGTGATCAAGTAAAGCCCTGCTGAACATCTTGTTTGTTTACTGCATCCAAATGCTTGCAAACAGTTAACTATATGCAGAAAAGTCAGCATAGCTGTGAAGTATGCTGTGAATTTTAATTGAGGAAAAAGGACAACTGATTACAGGATGGTTTAATGTGCACTCTGTCTGGAAGATTTTTTCAATTGAAAGCTTTGTACTTTGTCTTCTGAACAAGGATTTTGACTTTATGGAGCTGTAACGTTACCAGAGCTTGCAGCAAAGAAACTCAGACCAAAGTGTGCATTTTTCACAAAGAAAAATCACATTGCATTCAAACAGCTGCTCCAACTGTGTATTACTGGGTATTTTGGGCAGTTTTACAGCTGTGCAGGTAAGAAAAAATCTAGTTAGTTCATAAGTTTAGAGTATAAGAAACTCATTTCTTATCAATTGAATTTATTTTTCTGCATGACTTAGTATAACTTTTATGCTGAACGATGGCTGTTTACCCTGTATTGCAAATGGTCTTCCAGGTGCAATCTGTTAACAGTGTATGTGGATAGTTGAATGTGTATATTAAGAAAACACTGATCTGAAATCAGCTGAAGGTGGGAGGGATGTGTGTTTCTTTTTATTTTCTGAAGTGAATGAATGGTCTTAAATCTGACTGTGGTTCTATTCAGAATTTAATAAACATTCCTGAAAGCTTTTAGAAATCACCAGTTCCAGGCTGGAGACTTTAAAATTCCTCAACTTGCATTTTTTAAGTAGATGAATTAAAACAAGCAAATAACAAAACTTCAAGAAAGAAAGAAAAAAAAAAAAAAAAAGCTGTTATTGATTATTATTTGGCAAACATTTGACTACTCCTGAAAGTATTCAACTTTCCCTTGTAGAAAGGACTGTGACATTTTTAGTCTTTTAGAAAGCATATTGAAAAAGCTCAATTACATTATGCAGCTAGTAATGACTTTTATGAAAGTAGATAAAACCAACAAACGTAAGTTACCATGTAGTTTGCTGAAAAATCTCACCACATGAAACAGAAAAAGGTCAGCCTTATTAAGTTTTTAAATTAAAATTTATTATATTGTGAATTCATTCAGTAAATATTGATCTAATGGTACTTGCAAGTGGTTTTTATTTTACAGTTGTAGCCCACTGAGAGTTTCATTACATATTGCTGAGTGTTCAGACCAAAACAAAAGTTTTAAAGGGGAAAAAAAATCTTATTAATTTTTAGCATGTGTCTATTTATGTGTGTGAGAATTCTAGCAGTGTTGCCCACAGAAGTATGATGATGATTAAAACGGGAATGTTTTCCAATTGGTTACAAATGTTGCTACTTTCATCTTTGAGAAGAGGGATCTCATTTTTATAAACAAATTTTTCAATATGTATTAGAATGCAACATGCTTTTCAGATTACCTTTTCTTTTTTTTTTTTTCATTTACATTTCCTCTGGGGCTTTGTAAATACAGTTTGAATTCAATGCAGCTTGAAACTAGAATTCCTATGGGGTGAAAAAAAAAGTGTGCAAACAAGTACAAATAGTCATACAATAGGTTTAAAGATGGCATCTGTGTCAAAAGGCTACGTTCTTTTTTAATGTGGTTCAGAAGAAAAGATATTGATGCATGTAAAGCATGAAAAAATATGTAGTATACCGTGATCCTAGCATTATCCTGCATACATTGAAGTAAAGTTTTGGCATGTTGTAGCCTGTCCCCAGTACTTTTTGGGGTGGGGGGAAAAACTTAATAGAGATTATAAATATTAAACATGGGCAGCTGTAGTTCAAGGACTATTGTATGAGACAAATATATATACATATTTGTTTTACTGAAACAGAAATAAAACACCATATATTTAAAGGCACTTTCTCATACTATGAATTGCAGTCACTGCTTTTAAACTCATACATCTGCTTCAAGTTATCAGAAATTTCTAATGGAGGAAAAATACAGTTCACTCTGCAGTCATTTACTGTTGTGTTTTGTTTTTTTTTGTGTGTGTGTGTTTGTTTGTGTTTGTTTTTTATGTGTGTGGTTTGTATGTGTAATGCTCATAAGAGAGCAATGAAGTCCTTGCATACTTAAATCTCTATATCTTACTGTAACAGAAACCTTGAAGTGTTGCTAGTAACAAAGGTATTTGATTGTTTAAACTGTATTACTGAGAAATGACAAAACGTTTAGCCACACTATAAGAATATTCACACATATAATTGGATAGATTAATTAATCTTTCAGAAATTAAGACATCAAATGGTTAATTCTGTAATGATGTTTTTTTTTTCTGTAGTGACATTTTGTATTCCATGTTTTAATAGTTTACTTTGAAACATCATGTGACTTTTATTAGCTGGATTTTTTAAGAAACAAGCTTAGTTCAGTCCTAGAATGAATAAAGCACCCCAAAATTATTGTTGTAAATCTTCCAGTCCACTGTAAGATTTTTTTTTTTTTTCTTTTAGGAAATGTGGAAATATTTATTTTAATTAAAGATTATAAACAGAGATTTTGCTCCATCTCATAGATCAAGAAATATCTTTGTTCCTGCTAATTAGACAGAAACAGAATTTTCAAATGAGGTGTAGCATAATCTAATTTCAAACGATAACAAACATTTGATTTCAATGTGTAAATTTTGCTCCTGACTTCATAGTTGTACTGTAATGATGCATTTCTCTGGTATTGCAGAGTTTGAGATCAGTTAGACGGCTGACAATTTAAGTTACATAATGTATTTGTGATACTGGTGATGACTTGTAAGTAGAAAGGCAAAGTCAATTATGTGTACATTTCAAAATATTTGTGTTAATAATTCTAATAATTGGAAGGAGCTTAATAAATAGTCTTAAAAAAAACCTGTTTGCTCCTTGTCTACTTGTTTCTTCTGAAATGTACTGCATTGTAAACTCTCTTCTTTTTTCTTTGCATACACAATTATTTTGTGTGCATACCATACACTACTAAAGAGGCTTAAAATGTTTCTGCCTTCACTAAATATACATGAACTAAACCATGCACATTAAAATTTAATTAGAGGAAAAGCAATATTTTATCTACTTACTTTTCAGTCTGGGGGGGTACAAGAATTGCAGAGGAAGGACCTTTTAATTTACATACATAATGCAGAACCAAAGGAGAGATTCCCTGTATCCTGCCTGAATGGGCTTTTGCTTACAAAACATTGTTGAACAAAAACAAATCTTTTATCTCTCTTTAACAGCTGGACAACATTACGTTGAGCTTAGCAAGATACTGTTAAAATCTGCAATGCTATATGGTGACACAAAGAAATGATCCAAAATATATTAGCCTTGATATAAGTTGCTTGGGGCAGTAACTTACTATTTCTGTCTACTGTCAAAACATATGGCATATAAATGGTCTATGTATGATATATAAATAAATACAATGCATTCCTGATTATCTCTTACTTAGGTGTATCAGCATGAAAGTACTGAAGCACTCGTCCTTATTACTGTGTCTATTGATTCAGTATGTTAAACAAAATATATTTCTCTCTGCTTAGAAAATCATTTAAATGCTTTGCAGGATATAATAATGCTAGAAAAAGTGAGGCAGGTCAGTGGCAAGCACCCCTCAACCCCCTGCCCCCTGAAAGAAAGAAAGAAACACAAAACCACAAATTGTGAAATCATGACTCTTTTTTTTCTCCCCCTTCCCCCCCCCCCCCCCCTTTTTTTTTTTTTTTTATAGAGTCTGCTGGGCAAGATGAAGCTCTGGATTCTTACAGTATATTCAGTTCTGGTTGCATCTGACCCTTTCCAGTCAGAGTCTTCTTTTTCTTCAGTCAGAGGATCTTGTCAGAGTTTGTGTTCCTGTGAAGAAAAGGATGATACCATGATTATAAACTGTGAAGAAAGAGGCATCAAGATGGTATCAGAAGTAAATGTCCCACCATCACGGCCTTTCCATCTTAATCTGTTAAACAATGGCCTGACTACGTTACATGTGAACGATTTTGCTGGCCTTGTTAATGCTATCTCTCTACATCTTGGATTTAATAACATCGCAGATATCGAGCCTGGGGCTTTCAGTGGTCTCAGCCTTCTTAAGCAACTTCATATCAATCACAATTCTTTAGAAATACTAAAAGAAGATACATTTAATGGATTGGAAAATTTGGAGTTTCTTCAAGCAGACAACAATTTCATCACAGTGATTGAAGCAAGTGCCTTTAGCAAGCTCAACAGGCTTAAAGTGCTTATTTTGAATGATAATGCCATTGAGAATCTTCCTCCGAACGTATTTCGTTTTGTGCCATTGACCCATTTAGATCTCCGTGGAAACCAATTACAGACACTGCCGTATGTTGGCTTTTTAGAACACATTGGTAGAATACTAGACCTTCAGTTGGAAGACAATAAATGGGTCTGTAACTGTGATTTGCTTCAGCTGAAGATATGGCTCGAAAACATGCCTCCTCAGTCAATTATAGGTGATGTTGTTTGCAATAACCCTCCAGTTATCAAAGGCAGCATCTTAAGCCGGTTGAAGAAAGAGTCACTTTGTCCTACTCATCCTGTCAATGAACTTGAGGATCCTTCAGGGTCATTACCGTTGGTTGTAACCACCTCTATTGGTGATAGTCACCTATCAACTAAGGTCATTCCTATCCTGAAAGCTCCTACTAAAGAATCAGGTTTAGTGCTTCATACTTCAAAGCCAACTACTCAATTCCCAGGAATCTATTGTCCCATTCCCTGTCACTGCACCAGCCATATGCTCTCAGGAGTTCTCATGCACTGCCAAGAGCGAAATATTGAAAGCTTGTCTGATTTAGGACCTCCTCCTACAAATCCTAAAAAGCTTATTCTAGCTGGAAACATTATTCAGACATTACTGAAGTCAGATCTTGTGGACTATGCTAGCCTGGAAATGCTTCATCTGGGGAACAATCGTATTGAAATCCTTGAGGAAGGATCTTTTATGAATATGACTAGACTGCAGAAATTATATCTCAATGGCAATCATCTTACAAAGCTAAGTCAGAATCTCTTTCTTGGCCTTCGGCACCTTGAATACTTGTACCTTGAATATAATGCCATCAAAGAAGTTTTGCCGGGGACATTTAATGTGATGCCAAAACTTAAGGTCCTCTACTTAAATAACAACCTTCTGCAGACTTTACCACCCCATATCTTTTCAGGGGTTCCACTTACAAGATTAAACCTAAAAACAAACCAGTTTGCTCATTTGCCTGTGAGCAATGTCTTGGATGAACTGGATATGCTGATACAAATTGAACTTGAAGACAACCCATGGGATTGTACCTGTGATTCAGTTGGGCTGCAAAAATGGATACAAAAGCTGAGTAAGAACATAATGATGGGTGATATTTTTTGTAAATCTCCAGGACACCTAGAAAAAAAAGAACTGAAATCTCTGAACAGTGAAGTATTGTGTCCAGGTTTATTAAACAGCCCTGCCCTACCATCTCATGCCAGTTTTGTGGTTGTGACAACTTCCACTACTACTACCAACACTGCAGACACAATCCTGCGGTCCCTTACAGACGCTGTCCCACTTTCTGTTCTAATACTAGGACTTCTAATTGTGTTTATAACTATCGTATTTTGTGCAGCAGGCATAGTTGTTCTTGTTCTGCATCGGCGGCGAAGATGTAAAAAGAAGCAAGCAAATGAACAAATGAGGGATAGTAGCCCAGTTCACCTCCAGTACAGCATGTATGGGCATAAGAAAACACACCACACAACGGAGCGCCCAGCTGCAGCTCTCTATGAGCAACGTATGGTTACTCCCGTGGTTCAGGTCTATCACAGCCCATCCTTCAGCCCCAAACACATGGAGCAACAAGAAGAAGGAAGTGAGAAAGTAGTTAATGATTCGAAACATCTCCGCAGAAGTCTCCTGGAAAGAGAGAATAGTTCACCTCTTACTGGTTCAAATGTCAAATATAAAGCTACAGATCAATCTGCTGAATTTCTGTCTTTTCAAGATGCCAGCTGCTTGTATAGAAACATTCTTGAAAAAGAGAGAGAACTGCAGCAACTAGGGATCACAGAGTACCTACGAAAAAATATTGTCCAGCTCCAGCCTGAAATGGAAGTTCATTATCCTGGAACACATGAGGAACTGAAGTTAATGGAGACACTAATGTACTCCAGGCCAAGAAAAGTTTTTCTAGAACAAACTAAAAATGAGTATTTTGAACTCAAAGCTAATTTACATGCTGAGCCTGACTACCTGGAAGTCTTGGAGCAGCAAACATGAAATGATGCATTGGGCTTGGCCAAATTTCTCTAATTCTATTTTAAGTTAGAACCATTGTAAATAAGTGCCTTATAATAACAAGTCAACAGTCAGAACTTAAGCACAGCAGTAATCCTAGCAAAAAAAGAATAAAAAAGAAACAACAAACAAACAAAAACAACAAACAAAAATAACTCAGGGATCACTGTGGGAAGCCATGGGGTTGTGTGCAGATAGTATCTTACCCCCAGTTAAACATGACCTGTATGACTGAACTGTGGGAGGAAGATTGCTTATTGCAATACTCCTTAACGTGTTTTAAAGGTGTGTATGGCACTCTTCTTTCTGTACCTAACCTATGGAAAAATATTTGTTTCTTGTACTCCTTTTCTGTCAAATTAATTACATTCCTTAAAACAAACAAACAAAAACACCTGTGTGTGTAGTCACAAGGTTAGAGTGTATTGGTTAGGTATTAGCATATGCACTGAATATATGGCCATTGTCTACAACAACACCTAACATACCCTTGTAATAAATATGAAAATTTGAAAAGTTGTCATACTAAATGTCAGTTAAAAGCAAAAGAAAGATTTTTGCATATGCACCCATACATCCAGAGCCTTCAAATACTTAATATTTACATGGAACTTCATCAAATATGTTCTTTATCAACATGAGGAAGCAAAATATCTATGCTTACCCAACATCTTACAACAAGAAGGAAAAAAAAAAAAAGCAAGCCTTTGCATACTTTCCCTATCTGATAGCTTTACTTAAGTTTGGACAATCTTTTCTTAAGCTGCTGCTAAAAAATATTGTGCATCACTGGTGTTTCAACTCATAATCATGGGCAATTTGAAAAGCTACTGAGAATCAGCTGTAAATATATTGCTGTGTTTAATAAGTTTCATTTTTTATATGTCTATCAATATATATAAATAACTTCTGTACTGGCTTTAAATATACCTGGAGGGAATAAGTTTGCTGTGGCTAGGAGATTCCAGGTGCAAAAGCAGGTCCTGACTGACACTACCCAAAAGCAACTCCACTCCTCCCTACAACAAAACAGTTTTGTGCAACTGCAACAAAACACATGTATGAGGAACAGTAATAGTATTTAGATGTTGTTTGTACAAAAAATATGTTATATTTTGCAGAATCTAGAAGAAAATAGTGTTGTGGGAAAATAGGGAAAAAAAGTAGATCACTGCAGATTTATTTTTGCAATGAATTCTAGCTAGATTTATATTTACTATTTATTCTGTATAATTTTGTATTATTGTTTTTTATTATTTTTTATTGTTTTTTTTTTTTCAACTCACAAGAAAAGAAAAAGCTTATTCCTAGCTGCCTTTTAAGCAAATCAAGGAACTCTTTCAATGAACATGAAATAAAGAGTATTTTAAATGTCTTTTTCTTAGATGTCACTTTTTAAAGAATAAGGTCGCAACTTCATGCACAAGTTTAGAAACTGATCAGGAATTTTCAGAGGACAAGGCTTCTCACTCTTGCCATGTGGACAGGAGCATCTTGTCTGGAGTGCAGTAGGGCCATTCAATTTCTGTGCATGGCTGACACAGTGCCAGAACACAAATTATGATCTGCATTTATCTTCTTCTAAACAAATCTGTGGTAAATTGTCTATGCATGAATAACATTTTGTTTCCTAATTTCTATTTGTAGAGCTAAGTATCAGCTGAATTTCTACATATATATGCCAAAATTGGCACTGAAGTTTTGATAAACTAAAAGAGATATGTTCTTTAGTTCATCTTACTGCTGATGTCTTATCTATTTGTATACATATATGTGACTTCTTTATTTTCTTTGCACATGGGTACATAGGCTGCTGACAGAATTTTTTCCTATGCTGTATACAAAAGTCAAATTATCAGTTCTTTCAAATTTGCATAGAGATAATTACATCGATGGTGTTATCCTAATTTTTGTAACCCAAGGATCTGACCACTTGTTTCTGTTAACAATTCAACTTCCTTATTAATATTCTTAAAAAGTCATCACTTTGCTATGGAAATCAACCTTCTTAGCTTCCAAGAATCAAAATGTTAGTTATTAGAAAATAAGTATTCTTTCCTCTTTCTACAGCTGAGAATAATTTAGTTTAGAAAACCTCTGTATTGAGGAAGCGTAAATCTGGTTGCAATATGTTTTTTCCTTGCTATCTTTATTCTAGACAAGTGAAGGTAATGCTAAGTATTACTTGTGGAGGTAAAGGTGAGACAAAGGGGAAAATACAACTACTTTAATTTTACATTAACTTAAGTATTTAGTGTTATTTTAACTGTCCTTGCACATCTTCAAGGACATGTCAGAGAACCTATGGAAACCCCTGCTTTCATCTAGAGGGGCAACTGAAGAGCAGGTGAGATGGCTTAGAGAACTAAAATTATTCTAATTGTCTTCATTTAACTAACTAAATTCAATTCTGTAAATAATCTATTAAGAAACAATGAAAAATTGAATTCAGTCAATAGAACTGACAATAGAAAGCTTTGAATTTTAAACAGACCCACAAATATCCTTCAGTGAATTCTCAGAGATCTTAAATTAATGTGGAAAAAAAAAACAAACAACAACATATATGGTATATAAAAACAGACTTTAGCATTTCTGTGTCATTTCAGTAGTCATTTCCATTAGTAAAAAATGGGTGTAAAAATAATTCTCTGGAATGGGCAAGATGCAGGGAAATGATGAATCAGACCCTCAGGCTTTGATTTAAGAGAAATAGTTTTAGACTAAAGACAATTGCCACATGCACAGATGTCACTTTGCTTAGCTGCTAACAGTTACTTGGCAGAATGTTGAGGACAACTGTGTGGCAAAACATTTTTCTGCATTGCAGTCTCAAGGAATAACAAAAAAAAAAAAAAAAAAAAAAAGCTAAATTCATGTCAAAGCAACTCAGATACACAGCTGTATCAGAGCATCACTCAGCAGAAGTAAATAGAGATTTAGCTTTTAGCTTTCCATCAGCAGGGTGATTCACACCATTCGTTATATTAGGGTGACTGTACTCTGTGGTAGTCTGTAACGCTGCAAGTCATTTTTCAGTATCCAGAAGTCAGTAGAATGTGGCATGTCATCCATTTTCCTATCATCTGTCCCTGCTGAACTGCCACGTAGTAAATGTTTGTATTACAAAGTGAGAGCAGGTCTGTCTATAGACTTTCCTCATAATTACATTCTCAGACAGTGACTTCCTACATGAGGAGATTTTTTTTTTTTTTCAGGAGGAAAATTTATATTGCCATAACAAAAAGGGATAAGAATTTGGCCTTATATGATTATTCTTCAGATGAAGAATATCAGTATCAGCTGATAAAATCATAACATAGGGAAGATATTATACAACAAAAGAAGGATGAAGTATGTGTTCCCAAAAGTTTCTTGGTAACTTATTTTGATTATATTAATTAGCAATGTGTTCCTAACACATTGATACCATCCTTGATACCGTCTCAACATAAGCAATGTGTTCCTAACATTGTTACTGATGTTTCTGGAAAGTTGGGAGTGGTATTCAGATTTTGTTGTTATTCCTAAAGCTATGCTCTTGTATTTATTTGCTTATTTATTTTCCAATGACAGACACAGTAAGTGATTTTACACATTTCACTTACCTAGAATAATGAAGGCTGGAAGGCAAAGCAATGTTTGACAGTCTGCAATGAAGTGGATCCATTTTTTTCCTGTCAGCACTACAGTTTGAGGAACGATTGAGTTTGATTGAGTGGAGGAACAGTGTACAGAAGACAGGTGTACTTTGCAGCTATAATATTGTTGTTAGGGTACCTCAAAGTAATTAACATTAACATTTTTCCCCTTGCATTTGAGTGAATAAAATATATTAAATAACGATATAGACCTGTTCTCTAAATAAAAAACATAATAAATACATCTATTGCACTAATTTATTTTAACCTGCTTTTATATTTCCAACTTCATAAATGTCAAACATTCTCATTTCTTCCTGCTACAGGTATTTTTCACACAGACTTTTAGTATTTACTTAGTAATATATTTGTATTACCTGCAGTGATGTCTCTTTAAGCTTATGAACAGAAAAAAGCAACACCCCCCAAAAAAACAAACAAACAAACAAACAAAAAAACACTTTTCAACAAAAAAATGTGAATTTGCACATAAATTATTTATCTATTCTGAAATAGTTCAATAATTTCATGCGTTCTCTATTCGAATGACAGATCATCCTTTCTATAACCAAGTTGTAAATTGAAAATAAGTTCATACTTTTTCTCTGTGATGTGTTAAAGCTACAAGATTTGAACTTAAGCCTTTTCACCTTCAATAACTGATTTTCTGATTGGAATCAGAGAACCAGGTTCTGGCCCTTCTCTTTATAAAGAAGTCCTCAATATAACCCCAAACAGCAGCTCTTCATAATGTGACCTACGTAGAGGTTGCTGAATGCATAGGTTGCTAAACTGAAAAGATAAGTTTGACTTGGAGGGGAAAACACTTTATCAAGATCCATTTCTGTTAATGTGAATAGAACATGGGTATTTACTGCAATGAAAACATTATTTCACAGGGCATAGTGTTAAGGGAAAAAAAAGAGAGACTGAGTCTCAAAGTCAGCATCAGAAAGAATTCTGGATTATTATTTTGAGGATGCAATTTTCTAGAGCAATATATTTCATCAGCCACACCACAATAATCTGCACATTTCAGGTAAATGTCCTGAAATTGTTACAAGGCTAAAAACAATCAAGCGCTTGTCTTAATTAAAAAGATCAACTGAGACACTTGCTAAAGACTTTGTCTATTTCTCTTCTCTTGTACTGCCCAAATATAAAATACCTTTATTTCCATTAATGAATTTCCATCATGGACAAATCCTGCTCTGCCATAGACTACACCCTAGCACTAAACTGAAACCTACTCCATGGGGAAGTTCTGTGTGTGTGAATTGCCTTCAGTTTTCAGTTCCTCTGCCACTTGATGTTTAGTTTACCCTACTGGATTTGGGACAGGGAAATGGATCTATTACAGAGCTTACTATAATTCAAAAGATTTGTCCCTCTTTGATTTTCTGAAGTTTATGATATTCTTGATCTTGTTCCAGGAGATGGTATCAAATACATTTTTTTGTTTGTTTGTTTTTGTTTGTTTTGTTTTGTTTTTGACTTGAAATAGAAATGAGCTGTAGATGGGATCAATATGGTGAACTTAACTGCCATACTGAAAAGATATAGCATGGCATTTTCTTTCCTGCACATCTCCTAACAGTCTTTTGGCTTCTTGACACAACAGAACAAATTCTTAAGAGCCACAGTCTAATGGAAAGCAGTTAACATCAAGAAGAAAGTAAAACACCAGATGCTGCTCAGTTTTATGAAAGCAAGATGTGATGAAAAAAAATTTTTAATCAGTTTCAACAAGATTGAGTGCATATGTTCCTCCTACTTCTACTACAAGGACTACTTCTACAGTTACTTTTAGTTCCTGTTATGGAATGATAGCAGAGAAAAGAAGAAACAACTTAGTTTCATATATTAAGGAGAAATGTTATTTATTGTAACTTTAGCTGTTCACCTTTGTAGATCAATTCATCTAGATTATTTCATTTTGAGACAAACTATTTTAGGAAATAAGTATTTTAAAAATCTTCCAGTTGTAATTTATTACCTACTAAACTCCAGAGAAATATATAAATTCAAATATAAAGAAATCTAGACCCCCCTTTATACATCCAGAAATCTGTCCAATTAAATGTTAGCATAAAATTGCTTTTTAAAATAAACTATAACTTTTATTTTGTTACTTTATAAAACTATTATTTTTAGTTTTGAATTAAGAGCCATCCCAGTCAGTATTTTTGCATTTTTTAATTGAATGCCAATATAACACTTTCATAATTATACATATTTGGGTTAAATACATATTAAATATTTCCATACTAAGACATATTAAAAAACAATACTGTCAAATGTAATCTGACACCCACCTCTTCTTTCTCTTTGCAGAAACAATGCAGTTTGCTGTGAAAAAAACAAAAACAAAACAAAACAAAACAAACAAACAAACAAACAAAAACAACATTAGTGGGGAGGAACAAACAAACAAAATTATCTTGTGTCTTCATGACTTATTTTGTGAGTGAAATATTTTGTATCCCTATCCCTGTGGTGCAGTATGTTCATACATTTCATAGGAAGTATCTAAGAGGTTCAGACTAAAACAATTAAAGACATGACACTGTTAACACAAAGGAGTGGATTAATTAATAGTCTATGTAATCGTGTTCTTTTGTAAAAAGGTAGTTGCAACAACACTTTTCAAAAGATGCGGTGTGTCAAATTTCCTTTGATTATATCTGCTAAATTGGACCCCAGTGGTCCTCTTACATCTTTATGAAACTTGGTAAGATGTGAGATTCAGGCTGCCAGTGCTGGGCTAGTTCACGGCCATCCAGACACTCTGTATGCTTGGATATTTAGAGGCCAGTAAAAAACCTCTAAGGTGATGTGTTGAAGTGAAAGAGATTCTGAGAAACAGTTAAAGATTTAGCTGGCTCTTTTCATCTTGCCCAAGATGTTCAACATTCCATAGTATTATATCGTGTGACTTAAGGATGAATGTAAAATACTAATAAATCAGAAATGTAACATTTAGATGTCACTGTTCACAAAGGGTAAATGATTACATGAGATGCCATGGAATGAACGTGAAGGTAGGGAGACTTTAACAGCCTCATGTGTTATGGAAGTGTTTTTAAGTACACTTAAAAATAACACTCAGTATAACTCCAGAAAAGTTGGTAGGGGAGAGGAGATTTTTGTCTATTGACCACTCATGAATACAACATTTCTGAAGGGAAATGCTCTTCTGAGGATAGCTAACGTCATGCTTCCATACAAGATATTACGAAGGCTGAATAATTTTCTATAGTTTCTAACATAATCTTGTATAATAGGCTGAAATCTGTCACTGCTCTAAGCTCTAAAGCTTCTGTGTCATCTGAAGTCAGCAGGACTTCTTGCATACCTAGATTCCATGGTTATTTTTACTCATAAAAATGATCACAGAATAAATAGGATTTATTTTTTATTTATTTATTTTTTTATTATTTTCCTACATAAAATCAATCCTGTAAAGAAAATGATTCCTTCTGAAATTTTCATTCATGTCTTATTCCAAGGGACATTAAAGCTAAGCAAATATGTCTTTCAGATCTGGATTTATGCATCATTGTATTAGAAGTCTATAGTTTTGCCTGCACAGATACATATACATGTAGACTTAAAAACTGTGCAAAAACTTAGTGGTGTTGTTGCACCATCTTTGATCAGCCAACATGAATTGTGAGCACGAGACCAGCTACCATTCTTAAATTTAAAGCCAAGCCATATATATTTGAGGTTCTGAAGATTCACTTGACACTGCTTCCTGAAAAAGTGAAAGCTATGTCTTTTTTTTTTTTTTTTAAGTTCATTTTCTCCAACAGATAAGCATGTAAAGAAGATCACAGTGTAGGTTATAGAGGTCAATATCAAAAATAAACACCTAAAAGATATCTGGACTTTAGGAATAGCCTTCTTCACTAATGGAAGTAGTGCAGCACTGAAAAAGGTTACACAAAGTGTCTGTGGAATCTTAATCCCTTGGAGATTTTCAGGATTTTTCTGTACATTCTCAGCTGGTATACAGTAAGCAGCAATGCTGCTCCAAGCATCAGGAAATTGGACTTTACAACCTTCAGAGATCCCTTCCAATCAGCATTTCTTTGATTTCAACATGATTTTGCAAAAGATTTTTGAGGGCAAAATAGAAGGGTGTTTCTTTTCTTTATATACATTTCCTCAATATGAAGTTAAGCAAAAAGGTAAATACAATACTCACCAAACACTGAAATGAAGTAAAAACTTCTCAGTTAAGTCCTGTAAGATACAGAGAAGCAGTAATATCAAAGCTGCAACAACTTAAACAGTGCTTCTCTGATGTTGGTCAGAATGCATGTGAATTGTGGTTACCTGAATTTATTGTTTAAAGTATTTTTTTACTTGACATATTTTAAATCTCTAAATAAAATACTGAAACTATCTTAAATCCTTGACTGATTCTTTATTTATTTTCCTTTTTTTGTACTAGTTCAAAAAAAGTTCGGCCGGCAGCTAAACACCACGCAGCCGTTCGCTCACCCTCCCCCCTCCCTCTCTGGGACGGGGGAGAGAAATGGAAAGTGAAGCCCGTGAGTTGAGATAAAGACAGTTTAATAAGACAGGAAAATAATAATAACAAAAAAAATAATAACAATAATAATAATAATAATACAATGGTGATAATAGGAAAGTAATAATAATATGTACAAACAAGTGATGCACAATGCAATTGCTCACCACCCGCTGACCGATGCCCAGCTTAACCCCGAGCAGTCTGGCCCCCTCCCCCCGGCTAGCCACCCCTATATATTGTTTAGCATGACGTCAGATGGTATGGAATACCCCTTTGGCTAGTTTGGGTCACCTGTCCTGGGTCTGTCCCCTCCCAGCTCTTACTGCACCCCCAGCCTGCCCGTTGGCAGGACAGAGCAAAAGGCTGAGATGTCCTTGGCTTAGTATAAGCACTGCTCTGCAACAATTAAAGCATCGGGGTGTTATCAGCACTCTTCTCATCCTAAGCCAAAACACAGCATTCCACCAGCTACTAGGAAGAAAATTAATTCTGTTCTAACTGAAACCAGGACATTCAATTAATGAACTGTACGAAGTTCAACAAGGCCAAGTGCCTGGTCCTGCACCTTGGGTGCAATAACCCTAAGCAGAGCTACAGGCTGGGAGATGAGTGGTTGGAAAGCTGCCTGGCGGAGAAGGACCTGGGAGTATTGGTTGATAGTCAGCTGAATATGAGCCAGCAGTGTGCTCAGGTGGCCAAGAAGGCCAACAGCATCCTGGCTTGTATAAGAAGCAGTGTGGCCAGCAGGGCTAGGGAAGTGACTGTCCCCCTGTACTCGGCTCTGGTGAGGCTGCACCTCCGGTACTGTGTTCAGTTTTGGGCCCCTCACTACAAGAAGGACATCGACGTGCTCGAATGAGTCCACAGAAGGGCGACGAAGCTGGTGAGGGGTCTGGAGAACAAGTCTTACGAGGAGCGGCTGAGGGAGCTGGGCTTGTTCAGCCTGGAGAAGCAGAGGCTCAGGGGCGATCTTATCTCTCTTTTTAAGTACATTAAAGGAGGCTGTAGCAAGGTGGGGGTTGGTCTGTTCTCCCATGTGCCTGGTGACAGGACAAGGAGGAATGGGACAAAGTTGCACCAGGGGAGGTTTAGGTTGGATATTAGGAAAACTTCTTTACCAAAAGGGTTGTGAGGCATTGGAATGGGCTTCCAGGGGAGTGGGTTGGGATTCCAGGGAAGTGGTGGAGTCACCATCCCTGAAGGTCTTTAAAATACGTTTGGATGTTGAACTTAGTGATATGGTTTAGTGGAGGACTTGTTAGTGTTAGGTCAGAGGTTAGACTCGATGATCCTGAGGTCTCTTCCAACCTAGACAATTCTGTGATTCTGTAATGAACCCTGTTTTCTTGAAATACTGTTTTCAAAGGTGGTGATAATCTTCGTTTTTCAAAGGGTCTTCTAGGCTTTAAAAGGGCCCCTTTTAATATTATTAATATTATGTATTTAATTAATATTATGTATTTAATATTATTAATATTATTAATATTATGTATTCTGATTGTCAAAAAGTCAAATTATTGTGGTCTATGTGATTAATGCAAATTGTAAATTAAAAAATATTTTTTACGTAAAATGCTACTTTGAATCTTTCAAATTATGGAACAACAGCTGGCGCAAGGTTTTTCAGAGAAAAGTTCTCTATATCTGTATCTATCTATATCTATAAATCTATATCTATATCTATATCTAATTCATACAAATATATTTCAATGGTAAATAAATAAATAGATAAAAATTCATGTTTCTCTTAGATCTATAGTCAGAGATTTTGACTGTATTTATTTATTTATTTATTTATTTATTTGCTTATTATTCTTTTGGCAGCAGTAAGCTTAGGAAGAGTTTTTCATACTCCTAAAATTCCTTTGAAACTCTATGAATATTCAAGATATAATAACAGTAAAATATGCTATTTTTTATTAGAGGTGTTGGTGGGACTGTCAATATTAGCATCAAGTTTCTTGTTAATTGCTGTAATCCTCTGTGAGTCTACGGTAAACTGACTTGTTAGCAGAAAAGACACAATACTTTATATTCCTTGTAACAACGCTTAGTTCAATTAGTTCTGAAGCAGACTTTTTTAGTTTAGATGGCCACTGGAAACTGATGAAAGGTGTGGATGAAAAAATAACGTACTTCAAATAGTTAAGTAATGTTTAATGTTACTATACCTAACAAATTATTCTAAAAAGATTGTATTTTCAGTTTGTTTGCTGTGTTCCCTGGGTGATATTAGATGTATGAACAGCTTTTATATACTCTGCCTCACTTGTCACTTAGCTAGGATCAACTTTGTAACTGTATCAATGGAGTTTTAAAACCATATGAAATTTCTAGGCTTTGATGAATGAAGTAAGCATATTTCTTGCTGATAAACACATAATCACAGATATTCTATCAATTCTCATCAATCCAGTTCACTTTCTTTGTTACTACCACCTTACTTTGTGTCATAAACTACTGAGGGTAATACTGTGTCACTTCCTTTTCTCCATCAAAAATGTAAGAAAGACTAGAAATATGAGTATTAGAAAACCTACTGATCAGATAAAAGTACTCAATGGAACTATTTAAAAAGACATGTATCCACATGTTTTCTCAAATAGAAGTGTCTTTTGTTCTAGTTGGACTACAGGTTATATCAGAAAATAGCTAATGCCTCTTTTTAAAAAACAAAAACAAACAACAACAACAACAACAACAACAAAAACAAAAACTTTCAACCACTATGTTTTCTTGGAGTGTGTTGTCAGGGAGAAGGTGGTATGGGAAATATTAATGTTGAGCAGTAGAAATATGTAATGGATATAGTAGAAATATAGATATAGCAGTAGAACTATGTAATCAATATCAGACCTCATTGATTTAAATGCATTGCTTCATGCTAGTTTTAATTAGTAGTTTTATAGTCCTTGCACAGTATCTGCTATCCAAAGCTAGATACTTTCATAACAGAAAAAGAGAAAAAACGCATGCAACGATATTTGCCTTATTCCTACATTCTTTCCCAGGCATATACTTTTGTCTTTCTTGGAGAATGAATGGATCTTTGATTTGACCTGGAATGTCTGTCACTAAGTTATTGTGTAGAGTCACTGTGGAACCAATTTTTTCAGGCAGAATTGTAATTAGAAATGTTTTTATTTTTAATTATTTTTAATGGACTTTTTTTTTTTTTAATTGGAAATTTCTAAGAATTATTGTAATTATGTATTACATTAATCTTGTACCTCTGAAAGGTACACACCTGTATATGTTTCTAACAAAACAATTATTTAGCCAGAAGAGGAAGTGAAAGATTCAAAATCAGAGAGACTGTTTAGTCAGAGGGACTAAATACATAACAGACTATGCAGAGAACAACAACAACAACAAACTTTAAATCTTTTCTTCCTTCATGACTTTTTCTTTTCTTTCTTTTTTTTTTTAACCCATTGTTTTCATTAAAACACCACCTATGTTTTTTCAGTCCTCGTTGGAACTTCCTCTTAGAAGTGCAACTGAGGATTCACTGCAGTACTTTGCATTAGATCAGTTATGTTCCTTAGCCTGTTTACGTATTTCTTGTCAAAAAAAAAATAAATTATGTGGGAAAGGAATTTTCAAATCTTTGTGGGTGTGCATTGTCATATGTAGGTAGAAAACAATTACATTTGTGTTTGACATTAATGTCAGATAATTACAGGTCCAATGTCTAATTTTATAGTTTTACATTGTAGAAGTAAACTTCTTATGCTGATTTGCCTTTTTTTTTTTTTTTTTTTTTTTTTTTTTTTTTTAATATATCACAAACTGTGTTTTGGTCTTGTTGGCAAGTTTTCAGGTGTCTGCTGCTTATCACTATGTAATGGGGTAGTCTCCATCACGAGCTTTTAAAAACAGATGGGTAATGTTCTAATATATTTGCTAGCCTATATCTTATTATTTACGTTCTTTTCTCTTTTGGAGTAAAAACCTCACAATACGAATTATTAAAACAGTTTGTATAGATGGGAGAGCAGGGGAGGAACTATATCTCAAGCTGGCTGGGAATTTTCCATCAAAGTAAATTTGATGGAAAAAATGTGTTTTCAAAAAAAAAAAAGTTTTTAACACAGGAAGACTTTTTTTTTTTTCCATAAATAACTTTTTTTTTTTTTTTTCAGTTGAACACAGTTGTCAATAATCAAATCTTTCAGCTTGTCAAACTACTCTGTTTTGATTTATTTCTACTTTATCCACATACGTGTATAGTCTTTAATAAAACCCCATGGAAATTGTAAGAGGTGAGCCTATGACTTTTTTTTTCTGTTTAAAAAGTTTATTAATTGAACATTTTCCATTGTATCTTTATAATTTCCCATCTACCTCTATTTCTGGGAGGCATGGCAGCACAAAAACAGTAGTATAAAATATACAGACTTCAATATGGCAAATATTATGGTGGTTCAGTATGAGTTTTAATTGTTGTGACAGTCAAAATGTTATCAGGCAAACGAAAAATAATGGTTCATATTGGAATTATATATATACATAAAGTTGAACATATTTATGAACAACTTTTCATAAATATTTTACCTTTTTTATTTTGTCTTTTAATGCAAGTTCAAACAGTGATGAAGTTCAAAATTTTCTACTATTTTTTTTTCTACTAATTCTACTAATTGTGTGAAACACAGCAAATAATTTGCATAGTATAAGATTATCAGTTCTCATGAACTGATAAGAATGTTAATTACATAGTTTGGATGCCAGACTCTTAAAACACACACCTTTCTGGAATCACCCATACCAACAAAATTCCAGGCCTGTAAGCCTCTGCACTGGCAGCTCTTGTATTAGTTGCAGATGATTCTTCTGACTCACTGACAGATACCACGAAGCAGAT